ACATTGCTGGATGATGTGATTGATGTTGGATCTACATTGCTGGATGACGTCAGGGCATTCGCTTATCATGATTTACGTTGGATCTACATTGCTGGATGACATGATTTACATTGGATCTACATTTCTGGATGACATGATTGACATTGGATCTACATTGCTGAACAACATGATTGATGTTGGATCTACATTGCGAGACGATGTGTTTGACATTGGATCTACATTGCTGGACGATGTGATTGATGTCGGATCTACATTGCTGGATGACGTCAGGGCATTCGCTTATCATGATTGACATTGGATCTGCATTGCTGGACGATGGTGATTGACATTGGATCTGCATTGCTGGACGATGGTGATTGACATTGGATCTGCATTGCTGGACGATGGTGGTTGACATTGGATCTACATTGCTGAATGATGTCAGGGCATTCGCTTATCATTATTGACTTTGGATCTGCATTGCTGGATGATGGTGATTGATATTGGATCTACATTGCTGGACCACGGTGATTGACATTGGATCTACATTGCTGGACGATAATGATTGACATTGGATCTACATTGCTGGATGATGTAATTGATGTTGGATCTACATTGCTGGATGACGTCAGGGCATTCGCTTATCATGAGTGACTTTGGATCTACATTGCTGGATGACATGATTGACATTGGATCTACATTGCTGAATGATGTCAGGGCATTCGCTTATCATGATTGACTTTGGATCTGCATTGCTGGATGATGGTGATTGATATTGGATGTAAATTGCTGGACCACGGTGATTGACATTGGATCTACATTGCTGGACGATAATGATTGACATTGGATCTACATTGCTGGATGATGTAATTGATGTTGGATCTACATTGCTGGATGACGTCAGGGCATTCGCTTATCATGAGTGACTTTGGATCTACATTGCTGGATGACATGATTGACATTGGATCTACATTGCTGGACAACATGATTGACATTGGATCTACATTGCTGGACGATGTGATTGATGTCGGATCTACATTGCTGGATGACGTCAGGGCATTCGCTTATCATGAATGACATTGGATCTGCATTGCTGGACGATGTGATTGATGTTGGATCTACATTGCTGGATGACGTCAGGGCATTCACTTATCATGATTGACATTGGATCTACATTGCTGGATGATGTGATTGATGTTGGATCTACATTGCTGGATGACGTCAGGGCATTCGCTTATCATGATTGACGTTGGATCTACATTGCTGGACGATGGTGATTGACATTGGATCTGCATTGCTGGATGATGGTGATTGACATTGGATCTACATTGCTGGACGATGGTGATTGACATTGGATCTACATTGCTGGATGACATCAGGGCATTCGCTTATCATGATTGACTTTGGATCTGCATTGCTGGACGATGGTGATTGACATTGGATCTGCATTGCTGGACGATGGTGATTGACATTGGATCTACATTGCTGGATGGTGATTGATATTGGATCTACAGTGCTGAACGATGGTGATTGACATTGGATCTACATTGCTGGATGATGGTGATTGACATTGGATCTACATTGCTGGGTGAGATGATTGGCGTTGGATCTACAGTACATTGGGCTTGATTTATTAAAACTGGAGGATGCAAAATCTGGTGCAGCTGTCCATGGTACCCAGTCAGCTTCTAACTTCAGCTTGTTCAATTAGGCTTTGCCAAGAAACCTGGAAGCTGATTGGTTTCTGTGCAGAGCTGCACCAGATTTTGCACTTTCCAGCTTTGGTAAGTCAACCCCATTGTTTAATTATTATTTTATTTTTAAAACAAACTTTTTCTAAGGTGTGGATATTTTTCTATTTATTATAATGAGTAGCAAGGAGTAATATATACACCTTGCTCATTCACAAAGGGGAAGGGTCAGATATCTGGGGCCCCCATTTTTTTAATGGCAGCTTTCAAGTTCTGGGGTAGAGGCTCTTGTCTGCATCTGCATGGGGACAATGTACCTTGGAGTACCCTTGCAATGCTGAGGGCATGTGGCCTGATGTGGTTTGGAGAGGGCTGAATAACCGCTGTCCCTTCCACCACCACCTTCCCTTTCCTGGCCATGTCTGGACATGGGTCTGGTATGGATTTTGAGGGAGGACTCCATTCCTTTTTTTTTGCAGGATCTCCCTTTAAATTCCATACCAGACCTGGACATGGGTCTGGTATGGATTTTGAGGGAGGACTCCATTCCTTTTTTTTGCGGGATCTCCCTTTAAATTCCATACCAGACCTGGACATGGGTCTGGTATGGATTTTGAGGGAGGACTCCATTCCCTTTTTTTTGTGGGATTTCTCTTTAAGTTCCATACCAGACCTGGACATGGGTCTGGTATGGATTTTCAGGGAGGACTCCACTCCATTTTTTTCAGAGAGGACTCCACTCCATTTTGTTTGAGGGATCTCCCTTTGAATTCCATACCAGACCTTCAACCAGGCATGCAACCTTGGTAGCCAGCAAAGGAAGGGGCAGAAAACATGCACACACGTCCCCCTCCTGCTTTCAAACCATACCAGGCCACATGCCCTGATGAAAAAAACAATAGCCTGGGTTCGTTCCATAATTTGTACCAGATTCTTATTCAGGCTCCCATCTTTCGTAGGGTTCAGGTGCAATGTTTGTGGTGTGCAAATTTCCCAATGGGTTTGGAAAAGTTCCAGAGAGCCAAACTTTTCTTGGTCCAGTAATCTCTGCTCTTGGACATCATTGTTAGAAGGAGTAGGGGGTAACTAAAGAACGAAGAGTCGCCCTAACAGCCCTCCTTCTGAGCCATCTGCTCTGCCATTGAAGGTGAGCACAATTATTTAAGTATTATTAAAACTTTATGTAGAGCCAACAGTTTGCTCAGGACTTTAAAAAAAAAAAAAAAAGGGACACAGTACAAATAAAACACAATTCAGGACAAGAGAGTTAGGAGGGTCCTGCTCATGAGAGCTTACAATCTCAACAATGAGGTTCCCCCATTCATATAAGGGCACAAGCGGCCTTATATTTGCATTTTTGCCCACTTCTTCCTTTGCAGGACTGCGGGCAAATTGTGCCAGCTTCGGCTTCCTTGCTAAGGGTTACATGAGAGCCAGCGCCATTTTGGGCCATAGCGTGGCTGCCATGGAGTCCTCTCTATTGTCACGCCAGCGAGCAACGAGATGTACCATCTCCGGTAGGTGGGGGTCTAGTACATAGGAAAGGTACACTGCTGCCGTGAAGGAGTGATTCAAGATCTGCTTTGGGAGCCATTCACTACCCACATGGAAGAAAAATATATTTGAAATATATTTTAAAAATATTCTTCCCAAATATATTGACATATATTTGAAATGTTATAATTTTGGTCATATTCAATATATTGCAAAATATATTTCAATAAATATATAATATATATATATATACACACACACACACATATACAAATCTAAAATATATAATATAAAATATTTTTCATATAGTTTGCAATAAAAAAAAATGTCAACACCACACAGTATATATATATATATATATATACATATATATATATATATATATATATATATATACTGTGCGGTGTTGAAATGCGTTTTTATTACAAACTATATGAAAAATATTTTTTACAATACATTTCAAATATACCTATGTCTTTAAAAATACAAATCTGCATTTTTGGAATGCATTTACAAATATATGTTAAAATTACTTTTTAAAAATATATATTTTTTAAATATATTCTTCTGATTTTTTTTTAACATATCAAAAAGTCATTTTAACATATATTTTTACATATATTTGTAAATGCGTTCCAAAAATGTAGATTTGTATTTTTTAAAGACATACAGTATATTTGAAATGTATTTTTAAAAGTATTTTTCATATATTTTGTAATAAAAATGCATTTCAACATACAGTATATATATATATATATATGTGTGTTTTTATTGCAAACTATATGAAAAATATTTTTATATTATATATTTTAGATTTGTATATGTGTATGTGTGTGTGTATGTATATATATATATATATATATATATATATATATATATATATAAAATATATATTTATTGAAGTATATTTTGCAATATATTGAATATGGCCAAAATTGTAGCACTTCAAATATATGTCAATATATTTGGGAAGAATATTTTTAAAATATATTTCAAATATATTTTTCTTCCATGTGGGTAGTAAATGGCTCCCAAAGCAGATCTTGAATAACTCCTTCACGGCAGCAGTGTACCTTTCCTATGTACTCCTACAGGTACTTCACCTCCACCTACCGGTGACGGTAAATATATTTTTCTTCTATATGGGTATGCGAGCTGCTATGTGCATGTTCGGCCATGCTACCCCATTAAAAAACAGAATTTCTCATCCTTCCCCCTCAAATGTTTGGTTTTACACACACTACAATCAATGAGATCGAGTAGAGGGGGCTTTTGACTATGGCTAGAGCTGGGATTCTCACTACCTGCTACCAGTTACCAGATCACTTACGTTGCCCTCGCTCTTCCAAAGGTTGAGCACCCTTGGGCTAGAGAGTTGCTACATTAGTATGGTACCCATCAGGGGTGGACTGGCAACTCATGGGGCCCCCGGGCAATAGGGGATCATGGGGCCCCTGTGTCCTCGCCCACACTCAAACCACACCCAAAACAGCCTATGAAAGGTACCAGGGGCATTTCATGGGGCCCCCTACTGACCACGGGCCCTCGGGCAGTGCCTGAGTGCTCGAATGGTCAGTCCACCCCTGATACCCATGCTTCTAAGTCATGGACCCCTGAACCGTTAGGTGCCTACGGTCCACCAAAGGTCTTAGCTTAGCACATTTTTCAGACCACATTTTTACTTCACAGCAAAAAAAAAAGAACTGAGACTCTTCCTGCTCTCCAAACCATGCATGTTGGTTTCTCCCAGAGGTGCACATGCCATACTCCTTTACCCATAATCCCCTTGTTTTCACCCGCTGCCCAGCTGTCTATCTCCCTGAAGGGTGGTCAACCTCACAACGCAACAGCCGGTTGCCGATCAGCACTTTCTTTATATCTAAAGCATTTGCCGCAGCGAGAACACAAAAAAGGCTTCTCTCCCGTGTGAACCCTCTGATGAGTGAGGAGAACCGACTTTGCCGTGAAACCTTTCCCACACTCCGAACAGGTGTAGGGGTAGGCGCCCGTGTGAGTAGCCTGATGGCGAACTAGACCTGACTTCTGTGCAAACGTTTTCCCGCACTCGGAGCAGGAATACGGGTGGAAACCCGTGTGTGTTCTTTTGTGCCTCACAAGGGTGGACTTCTGAGCAAAACTTTTTCCGCACTGGGTACACGGAAATGGCTTCTCTCCCGAGTGAGTTCTTTGATGAGCATCGAGGTTTGACTTCTTCAGAAAACGTCTCCCGCACGAAGAGCAAGAGTACGGCTTGTCTCCTGTGTGGATGGACTGATGGCTGACTAGGTTATGTTTGTAGGAAAACGTTTTCCCGCACTGAGAGCATGAATACAGTTTCCACCTCCCGAAAGCCTTTTGGTGGCCAATTAGACCGGATTTAGACTCAAAGCGTTCCCAACAAGCTCGGGTCGTCTGGTGACAAAGAAGATCATCTGGCAGAGAAAAACACTGACCACACTCTGAACACTGGAGATCTCCATCCGCTACAGGAGGACAAAGAGTGATGGTCGTGGAGTGATTGGGAATACACTGACCATTAGAAGAGAGATCACGTGGTGGATCTGTGCTGTGAAGTAATGGATGGACATCTGTGGTACTGGAACATTCTTGAGAAGAGTTGGAGGTGAGGTCCATGTCATCTTCTGTTTCACCTCCTGGAGAGACAAGTGGAGGCTTCTCCTTGTAGTTCCAGTTGTGTCGTCCATCTGGCAGCAACAGAAACAGAGGGGAAAGAGTACCAGTTAAAATGTTCTACAAACACAAACAATCATATTTTCCCCACTACCCAACTGTGTCACAGCAGAGGGAGCCAACTTAGTGCAGTACAAGCGTACCTCAGTTTACGAATTTAATGCATTCTGCGGGACGTTTTGTATTGTGAAAAATTCGTAAACCGAAACGCGGTTTCCCATAGGAATGCATTGAAAACCAATTAATCAGTTCCAGAGGTCAGAAAAAAGTAACAAAAAGTATTTTATCTGTTCAAAACGCTTTATGAAGTGCACTTTAAAGGCATAAATACCGTACAGGGACATGATTAAAAATTAATTCGTAAATGCTTTGAAAACCAATTAATCCGTTCCGGAGGTCAGAAAAAAGTAAAAAAAAAATTTTATCTGTTCAAAACTCTTTATAAAGTGCACTTTAAAGGCATAAAGGGACTTGATTAAAAGAAAAATTTGTAAATGCATTGAAAACCAATTAACCAGTTGCCGCCCGGCCTATAGCCAGATGGCGGCCGGGCGGCCACTTTGTCCCTCCGGGTGGATGCCATATGGCGTCCTTTCAGGCATGCAGATTGCACATTCCCGCAGGGCCGTGCTGCGGTGCGATCTGTCACCGGTCGTGTACCTCGGATCTGTATACCGACCCCATTGGCAGTACCATGTGACCTGCTGTGACCAATCACAGCAGGTCACGTGACAGTTGTATACAATGGATGGCTTCCTTTCATGCCATCCAAGTGTGTCTAGCTGTGAATGGTCACAGTGATCACATGCACAAGCTGGGCCAATCACAGCCCAGCTGTGTCATGTCATTAGCTGTGGCCAAAATCACAGCTAAGCACAAAAATAACCCCCCTGAATGAATCGATGTCATTCAGGTAAATGCTTGCTTATAGCAAAGTAATTCTTTGCTATAAGCAAATTGTGTAAAAAAAAAAAAAAATACTTATCACTTCCCCAAAGTAGTACAATGTTACTATGGTAATATTATACTACTTTGGTCATAGTGAAATATGAAAAAAAAAATCTTAATAAAAGAGGACACAAATATAATAAAAAATTAAAAATAATAATAAAAAATAAATAATTATCAATTTTTTTTTTGTACTGTCACCAGTCAGTGTCCCTGATCACCGCCATGCCAGTTATATGATGACGCTGTACTGCACTGGTGACAGTATGTACAAAAAAAAATAGTGAAAATCCTTTTTTCAATTTCTTCATTTCTGAAAAATTATGACAAAAAAATTACAACTTCAAAAAACTCGCCATGCCTCTTATGAAATACGTCGGACTGTCTACTCTGCAAAAAGGGGTCATTTGGGGTATATCTGTACTGTCCTGACATTTGGGGGGATATCTGTACCGTGCTGACATTTGGGGGATATCTGTACTGTCCTGACATTTGGGGGATATCTGTACTATTCTGACATTTGGGGGATATCTGTACTGTCCTTACATTTGGGGGATATCTGTACTATTCTGACATTTGGGGGATATCTGTACTGTCCTGACATTTGGGGGATATCTGTACTGTTCTGACATTTGGGGGATATCTGTACTGTCCTGACATTTGGGGGATATCTGTACCGTCCTGACATTTGGGGGATATATGTACCGTCCTGACATTTGTGGGATATCTGTATTATTCTGACATTTGGGGGATATCTGTACTGTTCTGACATTTGGAGGATATATGTACTGTCCTGACATTTGGGGGATATCTGTACCGTGCTGACATTTGGGGGATATCTGTACTGTTCTGACATTTGAGGGATATCTGTACTGTCTTGACATTTGGGGGATATCTGTACTGTCCTGACATTTGAGGGATATCTGTACTGTCTTGACATTTGGGGGATATCTGTACTGTCCTGACATTTGGGGGATATCTGTACTGTTCTGACATTTGGGGGATATCTGTACTGTCCTGACATTTGGGGGATATCTGTACTGTTCTGACATTTGGGGGATATCTGTTCTGTCCTGACATTTGGGGGATATCTGTAGTATTCTGACATTTGGGGGATATCTGTACTGTCCTGACATTTGGGGGATATCTGTGCTGTTCTGACATTTGGGGGATATCTGTACTGTCCTGACATTTGGGGGATATCTGTACTGTCCTGACATTTGGGGGATATCTGTACCGTCCTGACATTTGGGGATATATGTACCATCCTGACATTTGGGGGATATCTGTATTATCCTGACATTTGGGGGATATCTGTACTGTTCTGACATTTGGGGGATATATGTACTGTCCTGACATTTGGAGGATATCTGTATTATCCTGACATTTGGGGGATATCTGTACTGTTCTGACATTTGGGGGATATATGTACTGTCCTGACATTTGGAGGATATCTGTATTATCCTGACATTTGGGGGATATCTGTACTGTTCTGACATTTGGGGGATATCTGTACCGTCCTGACATTTGGGGGATATCTGTATTGTCCTGACATTTGTGGGATATCTGTACTGTCCTGACATTTGGGGGATATATGTATTGTCCTGACATTTGGGGGATATATGTATTGTCCTGACATTTGGGGGATATCTCTATTGCCCTGACATTTGGGGGATATCTGTACTGTCCTGGCATTTGGGGGATATCTGTACTGACATTCTTGGACCTCAAGAAATTAGATTGGCTGACAGTCATGTCTATGAGTATGTTGTAGCGTAGCTGTATCCAAAGCTGGGACAAGGCCATCTAGCGTCCAGGGCGAAGATGCCAAACAACAACCCCCCCTCCCCCCCAAAAAAATGTATGAGTATTATATGTCTGAAAAAAATCTCCTCCTCCACCCATCAAAAAAACTTTGAGCACTAATCTTCACTCTCCAAGCATAAAGGGCAGAGCCAGAATGGGCCTACAAATAAAAGGGGCTTGCATGCCAAAAATGATGTTGGGTAGTTGATCAAGGCACTATGACAAGATAAAGTCTACCTTTTATCCAACTGTCCTAGATCTGGAGGCCACCGATCACCAAAATATGTACCTGCTTTGGTCTGAAGCTACCTACATTGAAGGATAAATGATAGTCGGATTCAAAGAGCCGCATTTCCGGAGGCAAGATCTTAACAGTTATCAAGGAGAACGCTTGGAGAACAAAAAACATCTGCATTTAGACTATTGCGGTTTCAGTTAGGAACTCAAAGAGTACACAGGAGAGCCTGAAGAGAAGAGCCAGGGTCTCATAGGAGCTGATGGCTCCTGCCCACTGGGCACATACTGTCTCCCCATTACTGTCTACTGACAGAGAAGAAGAGATGGTTGTAGTCACTGAACAAGGAGGATCTGGGACTCTTCTCTGGATTTAGTGTTTATTCCTCACCTGTGCTGATCTCTGGAGGGATCTCCTCCTCCTTACATGGCTCATCTCCCCTCACACAGGGATCTTCTTCAGGTTCTACTTTGACAACAACCAGGTCTTCACCCTAATTAGGATAAACACTTTCAGTACCATCCTCAACAGCGGTGTCCGGCTTAGCAACTGACAGTCATACATAGAGACACCTACCTGATAATCCTGATGTTCCTGTGTGGAATTCTGGGAATACAGAGGATGGGGACATCTTACTGGTGGGTTCCCATCACTGGATTCATCTAGCTGATGATGGTGAGGGATGATGTGACCTTCCTGTGTGGAATCCTGGGAATACAGAGGACGGGGACATCTCACTGGTGGGTTCCCATTACTGGATCCATCTATCTGATGATGGTGAGGGATGGTGTGACCTTCCTGTGTGGAATCCTGGGAATACAGAGGATGGGGACATCTCTCTGGTGGGTTCCCATTACTGGATCCATCTATCAGATGATGGTGAGGGATGGTGTGACCTTCCTGTGCGGAATCCCGGGAATACAGAGGACGGGGACATCTCTCTGGTGGGTTCCCATTACTGGATCCATCTACTTGATAGTGATGAGGGATGGTGTGACCTTCCTGTGTGGAGTCCCGGGAATACAGAGGACGGGGACATCTCTCTGGTGGGTTCCCATGGCTGGATCCATCTGTAGGAGACACACACACTGACTGAATACATTGTTTCTATGTGTTTATCAGATAATGGGGGATCTAGGTGGACCCTCCGTACTGCTCTCTCCTTTACAATAAAGTCTCCTCTTACCAGGTGATGTGAGGGGCGGCTGATTCTCCATCATAACGTCCTTGTAGAGATCCTTGTGTCCTTCTAAATACTCCCACTCCTCCATGGAGAAATAGACAGTGACATCCTGACACCTTATAGGAACCTGACACACACAATGACACCGTCACCATCCAGACACATCCCTTGTCTGTTACTGGAGAATGTCCCAGAATTCCCGGCACCGCTCACCTCTCCTGTCAGCAGGTTGATGATCTTCTGGGAGACTTCTACGATCTTCTTGTCGTTGTTTTCAGGTGTCATGGAAGGAGTTGGACTCTCCATTATAGGGCTATGAAACCTGCTCCATCCTCCGGACACAGGAGTGCAACTATTGAGCACTACACTGCCTTTAGCTTCTTTTCTTAAAGGTCCATAATCCTAAGCAGAAATATCAAAGTATGAGACGTGGTTCACCTTTTCATAGTGTTCTGTAAAATCCTTCTAAGCATTCGTGGCAATGTGACCTCCCAGAATCTTCCTCACCTCTCCAGTCAGGTGTGTGTTTTATTAATAGAGATAGGTGTGATGTCATGTGACCTCCCAGAATCCTTCTCACCTCTCCGGTCATGTCTGTGTTTTATTAATAGAGATAAGAGTGACGTCATGTGACCTCCCAGAATCCTCCTCACCTCTCCGGTCAGGTCTGGGTTTTATTAATAGAGATAAGAGTGACGTCATGTGACCTCCCAGAATCCTCCTCACCTCTCCGGTCAGGTCTGTGTTTTATTAATAGAGATAAGAGTGATGTCATGTGACCTCCCAGAATCCTCCTCACCTCTCCGGTCAGGTGTGTGTTTTATTAATAGAGATCAGAGGGACGTCATGTGACCTCCCAGAATCCTCCTCACCTCCCCAGTCAGCAGGTAGATGATCTCCAGGGTGAGCTGTAATATCCTCTCGGTCTTGCTCTTCTCTTCATCTCTCTGCAGATTCTCAGGTGTAAAAATTTCCTTCGATGGTGGCTCGTCGGGAGAAGATCTCAGAATAACCATTTTTTGTGGCGTGGAGTAACTTTAGCCTAATAAAAAAACACAATAAATAAATGAGTAAAGAAACAAACAAATAGGACATTGAGCCACATTATGATCGCCTCCCTCAAACATTAATTTCGCAAAATCTTCTTCCAATGACATGTGATATGACGTCCGGTACCAAAGAGAGGAGGCCAAGGAGGTCCAGAGCAGACGTAAAATGCATTGGCCGGAGACGACGCCATAGACAGAAAATACTTGTACATCACCAAGCCATCGGCCACACCAGAGGTGCCGGCGGCACACAAAGAGCGTACCATTTAAAAGGCGTTTCTCACGATTTTTCCAGAAATACCAACCACTGTGCAATATGCTGCCCGACCGCAATGAAAAAACCTTTGTCTATGCGTCTGCAGGCTCTGGGTCCCAAGCACCACATGAGCAGCTTCGATTTAGGCGCTTCGCATTGAAACATTGACAACTTAAAAATGTGTTACCGGCAAAGCAGATATCCTACGCATTTCACTGAATTCCTACAATTATAATTAAAAAAAAAAAAAATATAAGATTGAAAAAAAAAACTTAAACTACAAAGTAATACAATAATATCTAAAATATACATTACAGAGGTAGATTCTTGCAGGGGAATCTTTTTTCCTCAGTTCAACAACAGAACCTGAACACATTCTCTATAGCAGGAAACAGAGCAGGGCAGCTGGAATGGTTTTCATGGGAATGGTCCACAACAAAATGGCCGCCATGGTCACTACTGCTACCACCCCACCGACCAGAAAATTAAAAAAAAAAATGTTGTTTCATATTTAATTGTTCCTTTTCTACTGTGTAGCACAAATATGAAGATGACCAAAAAAAAAGGGAGAAGCCAGCAATCTCTGGTCTACAACAAAATGGCCGCCATGATCACTACTGCAACCCCACTGACCAGCAAATTAAAAAAAAGAAACTTTTTTTTTTCATATTTAAAAGTTTGCTTGTGTTTTTTTACTGTCTAGCACAATATGAAGATGACACACAAAACAACAAAAAACGGAAGAGCCAGCAACCTGTGGTCTACAACAAAATGGCCGCCGTTTTTTTTTCAGCACTTTTTTCATTTAAAAGCTTTATTATTTAAGAAAAAGAGTGAAAAATTTACGAGGAGATGTATCTAGTGATGAAGTGTAAACTATAAAAATTCTGGGGGTGGAATATCTTGAGGAAAGTGTATGTCCGCGTTGTTGGACTCCGACAAAATGGCCACTGCTGAGCTGCTCAGGCCAGGAAATGACAGTGAATGGACAGTGACCCCGGAAGTGATATGGAGGGTTACTGTTACTGGTGGAGAGGAAGCTGGAGGTGAGAAATTCACATTTCTATCTGTGCTTTTTATTTTTCATTTACAAAATAGACATAGAAATGGTTTCCTGACATAAAAACACCTTTTTCTCCAGTTCTGCATTTTAAAAAATATTTATTTCATGTATTTTAAATCTAATACAGCAAATATACGCACCTGAATCTGTTGTTATGTTATCTACCATTATTCCCCTCAACTCAGCGCTATAAGCCATCGGGTTCGTATTGTTTTGCCCGGTGTGTCAGTCTAACACAGTAAGCGTGCTTACAGCTGTGGGGTGGTGGTAGAGGCAGGGCCTTGGAGGAGGTACCTTCTGCTTCACTGCTGTCCTATCACAGGTCAGGGAATTGGTGATTGAGGTGTACTGCTTATCTATTCTGAAGGAAGGTGAGGTCACCGACCTGGCTGTGTTGTGCGGCAGGGGTGCAAAGTCCCACCACCAACACTTTCAACTTCCGTTTGTTCCCTACTGCTCTGCATGACATCAGAGAGCAAGAAACATCCCAAAGTATGGGGGTTGCATTGAAGTACAGTATTTCTGATCTTCTAGATTTCCTACCTGATGGAAAATAATCAACTGACTGAGAGGATACTGAGCCTCACCCTGGAGATCATCTACCTGCTGACCGGAGAGGTGAGGAGGATTCTGGGAGGTCACATGACATCACTCTGATCTCTATTATTAAAACACAGACCTGACCGGAAAAGTGAGGAGGATTCTGGGAGGTCACATGATGTCACTCTCACCTCTATTAATAAAAGACCTGACCGCAGAGGTGAGGAGGATTCTGGGAGGTCACATGACATCACTCTTATCTCTATTAACCAGTTGCCGACCGCAGATTGCTGAATGACGGCTTCATTCTGGGAGGGCGTCATATGCCGTACTCGCAGAACGCGCTGTCCTGCGCGCCCCCGGCGATCTCCGTGATCGCTGTGTCCTATGGACACAGCTGATCACGTGATGTAAAAGGCCAATCACAGCAGCTTTTTACCACGTGATCAGCCGTGTCCAATGACACACTGATCACAGGGAAATGCAATTGCTGGTTCTCGGCTGCACTTTACTCACGCTGTCAGAGTGTGAGGAAAGTACTGCCGAGAACCGGCAGTTGTCAGAGCAGGGATCGGCACCGATCATCAGGGCACTGATGATCGGTGCCCAGCAGTGCCACCCACCAGTTCCACCCACCTGTGCCCAGCAGTGCCGCCCACTAGTGCCGCCCACTAGTGCCCAGCGGTGCCACCCATCCGTGTCACCCACCTGTGCCCCTCAGTGCCACCCACCTGTGCCCCTCAGTGCCACCCACCTGTGCCCATCAGTGCCACCCATCAATGCAGCCCAGCAGTTGTGCCAGTCAGTGCCCAGCAGTTGCGCCAGTCAGTGCCCAGCAGTGCCGCCTATCAGTGCTGACTATCAGTACCTATCATCAGTGCCGCCTATCAGTTCCACCTATCAGTGCCTCCTATCTGTGCCACCTCATTAGTGCTGCCTATCAGTGCCGTCTATCAGTGCCCTTCAGTGCTGCCTATCAGTGCTCATCAGTGCTGCCTATCAGTGCAACCTCATCAACGCACATCAGTGAAGGAGAAAAATTACCTGTTTGCAAAATTTTATAATAGAAACAAATAAAACTTTTTTATCAAATTTTTTGTTCTATTTTTGTTTATAGCGCAAAAAATAAAACCCCCAGCGGCAAGTAAATACCACCAAAAGAAAGCTCTATTTGTGAGAAAAAAATGATAAACATTTCATATGGGTACAGTGTTGCATGACCACGCATATCTGTCATTCAAAGTGCGACAGCGCTGAAAGCTGAAAATTGGCCTGGTAAGGAAGGGGGTATAAGTGCCCGGTAGGAAAGTGGTTAATAAAACACACACCTGACCGGAGAGGTGAGGAGGATTCTGGGAGGTCACATGACATCACTGTTATCTCTATTAATAAAACACACACCTGACCGGAGAGGTGAGGAGGATTCTGGGAGGTCACATGACATCACTCTCATCTCTATTAATATAACACAGACCTGACCGGAGAGGTGAGGAGGATTCTGGGAGGTCACATGACATCACTCTCATCTCTATCAATATAACACAGACCTGACCGGAGAGGTGAGGAGGATTCTGGGAGGTCACATGACATCACTCTCATCTCTATCAATATAACACAGACCTGACCGGAGAGGTGAGGAGGATTCTGGGAGGTCACATGACGTCACTCCTATCTCTAATAATAACTTGTAATAAGAATGTACACACCTTCACAGTGCTATATCTGTGTTGCTGTAAGAAGTGAATAAAATCTGTTTTTCTGCTTAGGATTATGGACCGATGAAGAAATTCAACAATCACATGAAATCCAGCAGCCAACCCCGTGTCTCCAAAAAATGGAATCAGAGGCAGAGCTCAATCATGGAACCACCACCATCTCCCTCCTTGACCCCTGAGAGAAACAATGACACCAAGATCCTGGAAGTCACCCAGAGGATCATTGAGCTACTGACAGGAGAGGTGAGCGTTGCCAGGAATTCTGGGACATTCTCCAGTAACAGACAAGGGATGTGTCTGGATGGTGACTATCATTGTGTGTGTCAGGTTCCTATAAGGTGTCAGGATGTCACTGTCTATTTCTCCATGGAGGAGTGGGAGTATCTAGAAGGACACATGGACCTCTACAAGGACGTCATGATGGAGAACTGGCCGACCCTCACATCACCGGGTAAGAGGAGACTTTCATTAAGGAGAGAGCAGTATGGAGATCCCCCATCATCTGATAAACACAGAAACAATGTGTTCAGTCAGTGTGTGTGTTTCCTACAGATGGATCCAGAAATAGAAATACCCCAGAGAGATGTCCCCGTCCTCCGTATTCCCGGGATTCCACACAGGAACATAAGGAGATCCCTCAGGATTATGAGGTAGGTGGATCTGAAGGTTTCAGCAAATACCAAATTAAATCTTCACTTCTGTAACCTGACTTTCTGAACCTGAAGTTCTTTTGTTTAACATTTAGGATGAAGACCTCATTGTTATTAAAGTTGAACCTATAGACGATGAGGAGATGTACATGAGGGGTGAGCAAACATGTAAGGAGGAGGAGATCCCTCCAGAGATCAGCACAGGTGAGTAATAAACACTAAATCCAGAGAAGAGTCCCAGGTCCTCCTTGTTCAGTCAGTGCAACTATCTTTTCTTCTCCCCCCTCCTCTGTCAGTAGACAGCAATGGGGGGACAGTATGTGCTCAGTGGGTTAAAGTCAGGAGCCATGCATCCCTTTTAAGCCCTTTTTTTCTCCTCCCATCATCATTTTAGTTATGGTGGTTTATCTCTTTACTTTTTTCTGTGATTGCTTTTATGCTTCTTTAGAGAGTTGTGCATTCCCCAAATTCTAGATCAAAGTGTTTGAGAGTGGAAAGTGTTGGATCCTGAAACCATAACATGAAGCTGAACTTACTCCATAGTTGACTCTAGGAATTCCTGCAGAGCACTTTGGGCCCTCCAAGTATTGGATCCTGTGACCATAATATTAAATTGGACTTACTCTGTACTTGGCTCCAGGAAGCGTTAAAGAACACCTTAGATCCTTCAC